AAGAAGAAGAAGAAGAAGAAGAAGAAGAAGAAGAAGAAGAAGAGAATCTCCCTTTATCTACGAATAAACATCATAGAATTTCAGCGGAGAAAATGGGTTCATTCACGGGGTCATGTTAAAAGGTATGTATTATCGACAAGACATATGACCCTAGGATGGCTATTTCTGGCTCATTAGCCATCGTCAGCTAGGGATACCCAACTTCAGTGCTGCAGCTGAAATTGCTGCCACACTCGAGTTTCAAACACGCGCCTCTCCGGTCAGAGGCAAACGCCCTAACCATTGTTTAGATTGTCTTGGTTTAGTGCTATTCTATTCCCCTGAATAGACGCACCCGAGGTGAACAGTTATCTCAGAAGACAGTCGGAATAACTTGTACATTCTCTGTGGTTATTCGAAGTGGTCAGACGAACAGTCTTGCTAGTGGCACAGACGCGTGGCGGCTGGTTTATAAGTAAATAAGGACAAGGGGCAGCTAACAAAGAACGGGGGCAGCCGACGAATGCGAGGGCAGCAAACGATGTCAAAGGGCACAGGACATGAGGAATCGACGAATGACTAGGCGGGAATAAGGACCACGCAATAAGTCGGGCTAGTAACACGCAGTTAGTAGCAAATAAAAAGCCGAATATGACGTGATGTGCTAGTTATAACCATAGATTAATGAGCTGATTTGTTTGTGGAGATTACCACTAGTCCGTCTTGGTAGCCTCGGTCTGTTAGTGGGAAATGATTCGATGTCAGTCGGCAGATAAAGCGAACCTGAGACCTCGTGTTCTATAGTGATCGGTCAATTCACATACTAGGGTGGCTAATGTTTCATCTTCCAGTCTTCGATACTAATAATTTGTTTGTAGGAGTAAACTTGAGGTAAAATTAAATGGCACTGCACGAACGGAAACAAATTTTGAACATTATCTCCTCCATGTTAAGGGGGAAAAACCGGTGAACTATTGGCATGCACTTTAGGGTTGTATCGATGTGAGTTTGGGGGTAGGATTGACTTTTGTCTATGGATGTCATTCACACGTGGA